TTGGCAGCTCCAGGCAGGGTTTGGACCAGGGTCGGGGGGTTTTTAGGGGCGAATTTTCTGCCCCATGGAGCCCGCCGTCTCTTCATGGCACCGAGCCCTTGGCCCCTCCAGAGGGATGGGTTTGCTAGGGGCAGCGATACCCCCAGAAAAGGGCAAATCGTCCTTTTTACTAGGTCTTTTTGCTCAAAAGTAAGATGTTGCTGGAGGTGTGCTCACACCTCCAGCAACATCTTACTTTTGAAAAACTAGCAGTTTTGGCGACCTTGATCTTTGCTTCCACCCCCCCTTCAACATATTTTAGGAAAAGAGCATTTATGGAGCGATGCTCCCGTGGAGGCCTCGATCTTTCTAAACAACAGCCTGGAAAAAAACCTAGTGCCCACGGCCCGAAAAGCAGAAGTTTTAAAAATAAATTCCTCCCTCTGGCATCTGGCAGATTAATCGGGCAGGGCGTGCTCCAGGGGCGTAATCCAGGCGGGAAATTGCTGAAAATCCTTGGAGTGAGCCGGCGGAGATTTCAGGAGGCAAATTTCTCGTTTGCTTGGGCTAAAAATAGATGCAGGAAAAATCGCTTTTAAAATGGAAGAAAAGGTGATGGGTGACTTAGCTCTAGGCGTCCTTCTGGTGAAAGGGAGTGCCCAGGCTGCCGAGTGCCCGGCCAGAAGCATTATTGACAGCCGGGCTTTTTCCTGAAGAGCTCCATTAACTTGCACAAATGCTTTTCTTTTTTATTTTTTTGAGACTAAAAGGCTGAAAACCGCCCCGTTTTGGATGCCTTGCAGGGTGTAGCGCTACCTTGTGCCGCCTCCTCTGGCTTGAGTTCACGCAAAAGGCGGCTTTCAAGGGCAAGGAAGAGCAGTCCAAAAAACCCGCCTGTGCTTAGAAATGAAGCGTGGTCAGCTGCCAGAAGAAGGAAGGGAAAAAAAAAATGGCAGTAATAAATGTTGTCACCTCCCGCGCTCCAGCCCTTTTCTGTGGGGTCAGCAGGGCTGTCTCTCATAGGGGCATGCAAGGAGCATACAGCACTGCAAATTTTTGACTTTAGGGCTACGAGGATGGTGAGGGGACTGGAGCATCTCCACTACGAGGAGAGGTTGAGGGAACTGGGCTTGTTCAGCCTGAGGAAGAGAAGGCTGCGAGGGGACCTTATAAATGCCTACAAATATCTGCAGGGTGGGTGTCAGGAGGATGGGGCCAAGCTCTTTTCAGTGGTGCCCAGTGACAGGACAAGGGGCAATGGGCACAAACTGAGGCACAGGAAGTTCCGTCTGAACATGAGGAAGAACTTCTTCCCTCTGAGGGTGACGGAGCACTGGAACAGGCTGCCCAGGGAGGTTGTGGAGTCTCCTTCTCTGGAGATATTCAAGACCCGCCTGGACAAGGTCCTGTGCATCCTGCTGTAGGTGACCCTGCTTTGGCAGGGGGTTGGACTGGATGATCCCCAGAAATCCCTTCCAACCCTGAACATTCTGTGTGCTGGAGAGGGCAGTACCAAGCTTGTGGGAGTAAGTCCATGAAGAAATCTGCATTTAATTATCAAAAAAACTTCACTCTCAAGATAAATTAATCATTAATCATCCTTTCTGAGGAGCCGAGTTACGCTTCTGAACCCTGTCAGTTAGACTTGAGTTGTTCTTTCGCCCGCATTCCCTACCGGAAGATGCAGAGGTGAAAACCCACCGGCGTGTTGGGGCGTGGCCTGATGAGGTTGGTTTGCTGGGACCCGGAGAGTGCACGCTGGCTGGCGTGTGTTATGCAAGCAGCGAGTTGTCGGGCATCTCTTAATTTTTGATTTGCTTTATGTTCTCGAAATGATGCAGTTGTTCGTCACATACCAGAGTTTGCATTTTGCGGGTGTTTTTGCTGAGTGTCTCATGAGACTCTTATGAGCTGGCTGCTCCTGCCCAAAAAGGAGGGACCCAAGTCAAGGAGCAGATGGGGGCTTGCTCCAGGCTCCAACTCTTTAGCAACGTGCCAAAACCTGAAGCTGCCATTTCAGGAGTGGGTTCCCCTCTCCTTCCTATCCCTGCTTTATGCAATGAGAAACTGCCTCCCCTTTCTAGGAGGGGCTTGGTTGTTCGGTGCCTGCCTACTCTGCCTGCTCCCTGTTCGCAGCGGGGTGGGGGACCCCATTAGGCGCTGACCGAATTTCTCCCCGCTCCACCGTGCATCGGTACCAAGCTGGCACCCCTGAGAGAGGGTCTGGCAAGGGTGGGGGGCTGCTGGTCCCCCAAATCCGGCTTTCCCCTCTCTGAGCAGCGTGGTGCTCATGCTGTGTTTTAAAATGAAGACGATCAGCCTTGTCCAGCCCGGAGGGGCCATGTCACCTGAGCGCACGGGGGGGCTCCAACATCCCAAACCCCATTTCAGCTCTCAGCCCCCATTTCGGGCCGGTGTTTCGTTCCGGCCCAGCATCAGGGGCTCTCTCGCTGCGTTTCAGGGGCAACACCAGGGTGGAGGAAGCCTGCGAAATGTACACCAGGGCTGCCAACATGTTCAAGATTGCCAAAAACTGGAGCGGTGAGTACAGCCCTTGCCGTTGGGGGGGCTGTGAAAGAGGGTGGCTGACACCAGGGTGACCCACAAGTGCCTCAGCATCTTCCTGCGAATTATCGCAGTGGAGCTTTACATCCCAGGGTGTTTCCATGGGGATGGTCCCTGTGGCGATGCAGTTCCTCTGCTCCGCCCGGCCCTGCGATGATTTAAGTATTGGGAGGGTGGGCAGAGGGTTTCGACCTGAACGTTCCTGCCGGGCTACCGTTTACTGTTTGAAAATGAAAGCAGAGAAGCCTGCTAAAGGGGCGCTGCCCTGGGCTTGCCCTGCAGCAAGGAAATGCCTTTGGAGTGGGATGTCAAATCTGCTGGGTTTCCAGACGCGAGGGGTCCCCCCTGCTGATCCTGTAGATGCAGGGCGCAGCATAGTGAGGGTGACCACGCACTGCCAAGGACGAACATGCGGGTGGGTGGGATGCTCCCACTGCCCCCCGTGGGGACCGGCTCAGCCCCCGGCAGGCGAGCAGCACCTGGCCGTGCACGATTTGGCATTGTGGCATCTCTCAAGCTCTCTGGGTCCTGGGAAATGACTTGTGCTTGCAATCCCGCTGGTTGCCGGGTCGGAGGGGTACATGGGGTCGGTGTGTGCTTCTCTCCCAGCTGCAGGGAACGCGTTTTGTCAGGCGGCCAAGCTGCACATGCAGCTGCAGAGCAAACACGACTCAGCCACCAGCTTCGTGGATGCCGGGAACGCCTACAAAAAAGCAGACCCACAAGGTAAGGGGAGCAAAATCGGGACTGTTTCTTGCAAAGCTGCTTCGTGGCAGAGGAGGTTGCGTGCGGAGGCTTTCGGTGGTCACTGGCTCCGCGGGGCTGCGGTCCTCACTGCAGGCTACCCGAAAGCCGTAATACCTCCTGCACCTCTGCTTCTCCAGAGCAGTCCTTCAGATGATGTGAGGTAGTCAGCATCATCTTGATCTGCCGCACGGACCAGCATGCATAGGGCTGTCATCTCCTTGTAGGGGATTTCTGGTGCTTTGGCTGTACCTTTGGTGAACTTCAGTACGCTGCAGGGCGTTGGTTGTGAAGCGCTGCCCCTTGGTAGCTTCCTTCCTGGTTTAGCTTGGCCTTGGAGAAACACTCGCTGAAGGAACATTTCAGGCAGGTTGCAGGTCTGGATCGCAGTGGGATCCCTGCCCTTGGCCCTGGCTCCCTCCCAGGGGGTTTCCCCGGGGCAGAGGCGAGGCTGGAGGAAAACGGGCTGACCTTTCATGGGATGAGGAAAGAGGATCTGGATTCTTTACACCTGGTCATAAGGAGCAGGGCTGTGGTTTTCTGGAAGACCTCCGATTCCCCTTACCTTACCTGAGCTTTTGGAAACCAACCAACCAACCTACCAGTATTACCCTTGCTTTCCTGTGCCAGCAGGCTGAAGAAACTAACTCAGGGCTGATAATACTGTTTTATAGTTGTAAACCACCCAAATTTCCTAGAAAATGGCAGCCTTTGCATGTTTATGAGATAGGCATTTTGAATTTTGCTGTTTGAGGATGCAGCCTGACAGACCTGTGGTAGAAGTTGTTCGTATTTTGTCCATCCTAATTTTTGATCGTTACCTTTCAGCGTCGCAATTTCTGCGCGGGTGAACTGGCGAGCTGTCGGTGGGATGGGAGTGTTTGGGCTGGGTGAATCGGGATTAGATCTGCAGGTGCAAAAATGCAAGAGACGTTACTTCTGTAGGTCGTGGGGTTGAAAATGCTGTGTCTGCTGTTCCAGACCTTCATACGTACATGCGTGAGCAGATACTTACTGAAGAAGCTGGTTTGTGGTCTGATGAAGAGAAGTGTTACCGAGATCTGATTTTTGGAGGTGGGGGGAAGGTCTTGGGCTGGGAATTCTGACGTGCTGGCTGACTTTGTTGTTTTTCCTGAACACTCATGCTGCAGAGGCCATCAACTGCTTAAATGCAGCTATCGATATCTACACTGACATGGTAAGAAGCTGCACTGGCAGCTCGTGGACCAGTGTGCTTGTGAGAGATGCAGCTCGGTAAATGCCGTGCGTGCTGGGCGGAGGGAGAGCCCTCGTCTCACGTGCAACCTCTGCCTTCTCTAGGGGCGATTCACTATCGCTGCCAAGCACCACATCACCATCGCGGAGATCTACGAGGCCGAGCTGGTGGACATTGAAAAGGTAAAGATGCTGGGTGCTGTTCCGCAGGTGCTGCGGTGACGGCTGCATTTCCTTCCCCGGCCAGAGCAGCGCCGAGCTCGGCGCGGCCGACAAAACCCGTCTCCCATCCGGCACCAGCCTTCTTTGTGTAGGTGCAAGTCACCCATAACTTGAAGTTAGTATTAATGTGGTGGGTGATGATTTTTGCAGCACGGGTCTGACGGGGTAATGCTGGCTCTTCCGTGTGCCCCTCTGCTGAGCAGCACGGCAGGGCTGGCAGAAACACCCAGGTGAGAAACCTCCTCAACCGCAGTGGTGTTTCACGTCTGAAGAGCACTTTGGGAAAGTTGTGGGGGCAGTTTTGTAGCTATTTTCTGCTGCACCCAAAAGAAGCTGCTGTTACTTTCAGTTCACGCTTCAGCACCAGCCCTCTCTCGTTCCCATAACTGAGGGCCCTGCGCAGGAATCCTGCAGCAGCTCAGCTGGCTGCAGATCTTCTGCCTGAAGTTTGCAGAATGAAAATTTATGGTTTCTAGACAACCATTTGCTTCCTCACTCCACTTCATTGGATCCCATCTATCTCTCTTAATGACTTCAGTGTTGCCTCTCCATGCGCAGCCCCACTTAAATCAAGCCCTGCTATGTCAGGGCTGTTCTGTTAAGCGATTTATTCTGTCGTCGCAAACCTGGCAGAAGCCTTGTCGCACTGTCATCATGAGCGTTTGTGGTTGTTACCCCAAGCATGCTGTCACCTGTGTTAAACCTGCACTGGCATTCGGAACTCTCTAACAAGTTCACAGTCAAACTTCCAAGGGCAGGCTCGTGTTTTGAGTGTGCAGGGGATGCGCGGCAGCGCCTTGCTCCCCCAGAAACCCCCGCAGCGCGCTGTGCCGCTGCTCCCTTTGTGCGCAGAATGGAAAAGCTTTTGTGAATGCGGTCTGACCAAAAATCGTACTTCAGAAGTGGCGCTCAAGTGTGCTGTTTCTGTCCCCAGGCGATTGCACACTACGAGCAGGCTGCAGACTATTACAAAGGAGAGGAGTCAAACAGGCAAGTGGTCTTTTTGTAAAAAGAGTCGCAGCAGGGAAGGGCTGGAAATGGGGATTTGTCCTGGATGCCCCACGCGCTTGCACACCTCGCCTGCCAGCCTCTTCTAAAATGTCGTTTGGTGGGATGCCCGAGTCCTGCTTCGACAGATTGCTGTTTGAGGTTCTCCTCCTGCACGCAGGCTTGTCTGGTTTGGGGTGCCCGTTTTGGGTGCAGAGAAAGCACGGAGGGATTGAGTGGTGTCCTGATGCCAGGTCTGTGCTGAGCTGAAGCTCTTCGCACCTTTCCGTGTGTTTTAATTTTGCCTGTTAAAAAAGAAAATTCCCTCAATTTGCAGCTTTTGGGTCCCACTTTTATATACGCTAAGTAGTACAGGTAGTGCTTGGAGGTACCAGGGTATGGATTTCCTCCCCCCCCCGGACACAATTACTTACTTTAATGCTATAATTGATTGTAGCTCAGCCAACAAGTGTCTGCTGAAGGTGGCTGCCTACGCCGCGCAGCTGGAGCAGTACCAGAAGGCGATTGAAATCTATGAGCAGGTGAGGATGTGTGCTTCGTCCAACGGGGCAAAAATGTCTTGAAAATGCAAAGTGGGTCAGTGTGTCAGTCTCACAAAACTGCTGTGGCCTAGAAGCTGCTAATCTCACTTGTTTCGGGGCTCATTATGCCTTTACGAGACCTGGTTTGCTCCTTCACTTGTAAGGGTTGCTCTAATGTACTAAAGGCATTTTTTTCCCCCTCCCGAATCCTATTGTTTCTAGAGAAAGGCTAGGGGAAGGAAATCTGTAATTAGACTTTTGATGGTATTTACAAATATGTTTGGCAGAAAATTCCCCCCCTGGTTTGTAAACTTGATTGCGTTTGTGCCAGGAATTTACCTGAGGATACTTGCAGTGCTGCTTTTGTGCTTCTGAAGAGTTAATGTTCAACTTGGTGAAAATCTGCTCCGCTTGCCTTCCCCTTGCTGCATCAGATAGGGCACATTGAGGTTCCAGCGCGGTACCCCTGAACTGCGGCGGCAGCTCCCTGGGAGGACGGGCTGTGTGGGTGCGCTCTCGCAGCTGCCTGCGGGTTTCTGATCTCACTTGGCATTAGTTAAAAGTCTGTCTGGCTTCCCAAGAGCTTTTTCTACGGACGCTGGCATTTTTTCCATGGTCTTTATTTGCGTTATGGTGCCGTGTGTCATTGCAATCAGCTGTCCTGTTTTTAATTCCATTCTTTACGATGCAGTTTCCTTTCCCAACTCTAATAATATCTTTTTGTGCCTAGGTCGGAACAAACACGATGGATAATCCTTTGCTCAAGTATAGCGCGAAAGAGTATTTCTTCAAAGCTGCTCTGTGCCACTTCATTGTGGACGAGCTGAACGCAAAGGTCAGTGGGCTCAGAGTGGTTATCCCAAACCTTCTGCATCCCTCTTAATCGACCTTTGTTGGCAGAGACATATTCTTGCGTGCACAGGGATTTGCGTGGCTGGTGCACAGACTGAAGGTTGAAGTGCCGTCGTGTCGAATTGGATTTGCCATCAGTACTTTCACAAGCTCTCTGTGTGCTTTTAGGACTGGAAGGCAAAAAAATAAAATAAAAAGCAAGTAGTTTTGTGTGAAGTGAGCGTAAGGGTTGTCTTCTTTCTTTCAGCTTGCACTTGAGAAATATGAAGAAATGTTCCCAGCGTTCACAGATTCACGGGAGTGCAAGCTGTTGAAAGTGAGTAAAGCCAGTATTAAAATAATAGTCATGCTTGAAAATGCATACTGCCCTGCCCTTTGTGCTTTTTCACCTTGCCATAGACTTGCTCACTTATTTGAACGTTTTAGAGGACGTCAGACTCCCTTTGCACTGGGTTTATACCAGACTTGTGGAAGCAGCTGCAGCAGAAAGATGATTATTCTAGCTAACTTAAAAAAGCCCAAATGATTTCCATGTTCATGGCAGGTGGTTTGAATAGGTTGGGAAGGTGCCACTGCTGGACACGTGGGTGCCCTGCAGTGTTGGGGCAGAGGTCCCCTCTCCTCTGGGGATGAGATGCCCGCGCACCAGCCCTGCGGGAATATGCAGTAACAAGAGTATTTTCTAATTTTTAATGGTGTTTTCCTAGAAACTGCTGGAAGCCCACGAGGAGCAAAACTGCGAGGCATACACTGAGGCAGTAAGTAGTGACGAAATTGCACTTGTGGATGGTGGGTTGTTCCTTTTTTATCTTTTTTTTTGGGTGCGCGTGCTGTTAAATGTTGGGTAACGGTTTGCCTAAGCTCCGAGTGCTGCGACCGAGTCCAGCAGGGCAAAACACCGGGCACTTTGCTGCTGAGCCATCCTGCCACGAAACTACCCGCAGGAGAGATGGCCGTTAGCAGAGCTGGTTTCAGCCTGTGCTCTAGCAAGTCCTAAACTTAATGCTGTAAAATTAGTAGTTTGTCTCTGAGAGTTAAGGATTTTAATTTAAACCTTTTCTTTTTCTGGATAGGTTAAAGAATTTGACTCAATATCGCGGTTGGATCAGTGGCTTACAACCATGTTGCTTCGCATCAAAAAGTCAATCCAAGGAGAAGGGGATGGGGACCTGAAGTGAATTGCACGTGGTATTTGTGGCATGCAGCCTAAGTAATTTGTTCTTGTGTTACAGCCAAGGACCACTATGGGATACGTGGTAAAATATCTAGCTTTATTTTGTTGCTCACAAATCCGATGACTTGTGTGTTTCTTTAGTATCCTGCTCTTTGTCGTGACAACATGGGTAGATGAGAAGCGATGCTCTGGGTATGACTGGCAGATCTTTCTGAGGTGAAAGAAGCACTTCTGGCAGAAATCCCTTCTTGGTTTTGTTAGCTGTGAACCCGAAGTCTGCACTTGCAGCTACTGTTTTTTTCTCGCTGTTCTGTCTTAAGGCTCAGTACCGTTGACTCCAGCGTGTAAATATTTTGTCCACGCCAGTGCAGTACAAATAATGGCTTCTGATCTGTTGCTGTATTGTTACTGTTTTCCGTTTCTAAATGGACCTCTGTCAGATGCACTCGGATCGTGTTTTTTTTTTTTTAAATGATGGAGCTTTCTCAATGGTGCTAGTGAAAGGCTTTGTGACTCTCATATACAGCATGCATGTGTGTGTATACGTCCTATACAGATACATGTGTGCATGTATAAATACAGAATCCGTCATGACCTAGTGCTGAAAGGGTTACACGCGCGGGGACGGGACCGCTTAGATTGGTGGCAGCCCTCCACGCAGTCATTGTGAGTAGATGTAGCTAATGGTGTATTTTGTATTTCAGATCTAAATATAAAATGTAAGGTTCTTCTATATTTTCTTGGATCTATTTTTCCACTTCCTTTATTTTGTGGTGCATCCCATCCCTCCTACCCCGAGATGACTTGACCCAAGTAATATCTATTTTTCTAGCTTTTCATTTACATGAAATCCTGCTGCTGTCTCTACCACAGGTCTTGTGTGTGCGCCGGGCAAATACCCGTTAAGAGTCTGACCTCTTTGCCTCCTTCTTGTGACGTGCAAAGGTGTTGCTCGAGACTTATGTTACACAGAAACCTTGTTTTGGTTGTCTGGGTGACAGATGAATCGAGCTTGCTTTGAAAAGGTGTAGACATGTTTAAAATTTCCTGCAGTAATTTTAGAAATATATTTGAAAATGTCTGCACCCAAGGCTCTTCCATGCAATGCTTTATTCAACTAGAGCTGATTAAGCTACCTGTTATTTCATGTGCATGTACTAAGAAGGACTCGGGAGCCTATACAGTTTGGCAGTGGGAATTGTCACTCAGTATTTCTCTGTAATGAAGTGATTTTCAGCTGCACTAGTGACACATAAAGAATGAATGAGTAATTAATTAATTGCTTTATTTGGCACAGCTGCTGTTCAGGTGGGCCCTTTTCCATGGCCAGAGCAGTAATATCACAATAGTCTCCAGCAGCACCTTCGGGTGGTGCTGCCGCCCAGTGTGGACTCTGCCTGTTGTTTCTCTCGATGAAGTGATTGTCTCCGCTCGTATTCTGGCAGCCAGAATGCTGCCTTTCACACTTCTCTTCAGTTTGTTTTTAATCTAGGTATCTATTTGTGTTAAACAGAGGTTGGCTTATTGGTCTAAGGGGTTTAGTTCTGCTGAAGGTGGTACTTTCTCTCTACCACCTGCTTATGAAAAACAAAACCAAAAAACGCTCCTGGCACCTGCCAAAGTACTACTACTTTTGTTTTGTTTTCCTGACTGATCTCACTGGTCACTTATTTTCTGTAGACTATTCTGTGCATGCCAACTTGATAGGAAAGACCCATGAGCTGCACAGAACTGGCACAGTGAGTGCACTGAAAAAGCCGAGACAATGCTCATTCTTCCAAGCGACTTCAGTTTCTTCACTTCTCAGATGTGCTTTTAAGGCTACAGCTCACGATCAACCTCTGTCCGCAACAAAACTATCACTTTAACTTAGACCACCATGTGTCACGTCCGGCTTTCCCACAAACTTGGTGAAGAAATACTTTAAATTTTGTTTAGCTTGGGGTCCTGGTCTGTGTCCACCCGAGACGCCGTGAGAGGCAGGTGCACACCTCAGCTCATTGGAAACGAGGACTGACTGACATTTCTGAGGGTGTCCCCATCCCTGCACCAGAGTCCTTCATGTGCTTGTGCCACCTCCACTGGGCAGAGAAAGTACTGGGCTTAGGACACGGCCCGCGTGGTAGGTAGGTCATCCTACTGCTGGAGTTGGAGTAGCTGCAGATTTGCTCTCATTTTCTACAAGAGGGCCCAAAGCTGTAACTGCTGCTGGTAAAAGGACGGGGTTGGAACCATTTTTGTTTAAAAGTTTACCTGTCTCCCTAGCCAGCAAAGACCCATCGTACTGACAGGTTTGTCTTCACTTACATCCAACACCCTTGGAGCCCTGGTGAGGGGCAGTGCAGGCTGTGAGGTTTACTTTTCCTAGTGTCGTCACACAGAACCGAGGCAAATATTTGATGCCTTTTTTTGTTCACTTTTCCAGTTGTCAGTATTATGCACGGTTCTGATAAGATGCATACGGAGCTGGTGGACCAGAAGACCGTACCCATGGGGTTGTGTGGTCTGTTGCTGTGCTCTGGAGTAATATAATTAAAATACAACTGTTAGTTCTGTATAAGTAGGCTACAGCATGTCCTCCAGTGTATCAGTGGTAAATTGTGACAGTTTTAAAATGACAATCTGCCACTCTGCTGTATTTTCCCCTCAGTACACAACTCTGTACTATGAAAACTTATTAATGAAATGGCCTTAGCAAGAATATAATGTTTTGTGTGAATCTGTACATTAATAAAGTGAAAATCATGAATGTAAGTGGCAATAAATGCTCTTTCCTGGAAAATGCAGAAGGCAGGCTCAAGCTAGAGCCTGACCCGAAACTGCGGGGTGTGACGACAAAAGCCATTGTGCATAGTGCTTCCTTTCAGTTACTCTGGCGGCCTGTGAAGGTACCCGCTGAGGGCGAGTACTCGTATGGGAAAGCACGGGCTGACCATTTTACAGTGACTGTCACAACCCTTCACTGCCTGTTGTACAAGGTGTCAGCTCCAGGAAACTGGAGTGTCCCCAAGGGTCACGTTCCCTATTTTTTTCCAGGAGCACTTCTTAACGCCTAACGAAAAGTATGCTCCAGGAAACTGATCCTGGCTCACAGAAAGGTGCGGTCTAGCCCAGGCTTCCGCAGGGCTGTGCTGTCACTCTGGCAGCAGGGCCTGAGGAGGGAGAGTGGCACCCGCAGCTTCAGGCCTGCAGGCGAGCCGAGTTGGGACTTACCCCAGTCTTCGTGCATTCACAGCGACGGGTGTCTATGCATTATGTGGAGGGTACAGAGACGCTCGATACGATCATCAAGTCACCGGCAGGGTCAGGCTTAAGGGTTCAGTATTTTAATAAGAACAGTTCATACGAGTAACTCACTTCCGAATATCCACGGAGTACAAAAGTTTCCCTGCCTACAGGTGCTAATGCTCAGACTTTAAATATATCTACAGATTCTTTACGTTGGCCATTGGGAATACCGCACTTCAACAGGAACGTCGTGCTTTGAATAAATATTTCAAATATAACCTCTTGGAAATGTTATCTTTAAAAAAAAAAAATTCCCTTTCTATAGATTAAGTTAAGATTCCATGGTAACATATCAGACATCCCTTTAAGGTTCAAAAATAGCTCTGTGCCAGGGTTTGGGTATCTTTATTGCTTTGCCAACCCCTAAGCCTCAGGACAGGCCCTAACAAGGCTTGATTGTGCTTACCTTTACACTAACGCAACCTTTCAGAAAGGTTTTTCTCACAGCTTCAGCTGAGAAAGTTTCTGTGGAAATACTACATTAATACTAAACTAAAGAGAGCAGAACAGAAAAATGGTTTAGAAAAGCTCCACATTTTATGTGGTGGCACTGGGAATCTGGTCCTGAGTTTTGAAGCGTTAACCATGCCAGCAAGTTGCGGCTGATAGACAGCTGCTCCCAAAACCAAGAGTCAGCCCAGTCAAATGTTTCTTTTTGTCAGTGCCAGCTATTTCAAAGATTCCTTCCCTGCACAGGGAAAATAGCCCAAATCCTCCCAAGTGCTCCAGTGAGATGAATCTGAAGGCAACCAGCTCAGCTTTGGTGTTAGCACAGGTGCCTGAGCTTCAGCAAACGCAGCAAATGCTTACCCTGGACAGAAGCGCTCTCGGGTTTCCCTGTGCAACAGCTTTCCCAGCTGCTGGACGTGACTGGGGGGACACGGGGATGCATGCCCTGGGGTAGGGAGGAGCTAGTAAGGAAAGATCTGTCTGGCTTGGTAAGAAATGCCCAAACAGAACGTGATTCTCACAGCAATTGGTGGTGCTGGGATCCAAGCCCGTGGCTACTGGAGCAGGCTGTGTGAAGTTGCAGGTGTGAGGCATGGGCTGAACAGGAGTCATGCTTAGGGCCCTGAGTCCCCGTGCTCACTTTGTCACATTTCCTGATTTAAAACAAAACAAAGGCACATTGCCAGGGTTATTCCACTAAAATTTAGCAGCAGATGCTAATCCATTAAAGCCTTTGAACTGTAAGTTTATTCATCACTTACATTCTTAAGGCCTGCCTCTTTAACACCTCACAGGGGACAGTTAAACAGACACTAGCCTAAAACTGCCACGCAGATTCCAATCTAGTCTTACAGACAAAGTATTTGCAATCTGGGAGAGAGAGGCCTAAATCCCTTGAATAGTCCAGTACAGTTTTCACTTACTTGCATCTTTTTATGCCATTAGTCATATGAACCCGGACTGCCTCCCATTTGTATCTGAATTTGCCTCTGGAGACTCTTCCACTGGTGGAAATGGTTGTAGTAACTCGACACCAAAACAGTAATTAAATTTTCCCACCCAAGTTTTACTTAATTTAAAAGTAGGTCTGCAGTTCAGAGCAACAGTGATGTTTGAGTTATGGTGGAGAAAAGAGCATTGCTGACCTATCTGGACCAGCAGAAAACAGTTTAGATGGTACAAGTTAACAGGAAAATGGCAATGAGATGCCTTTCCACATTAGCTTTCCCAGCATAGCTGAAGTACTACTTTTCATAGACATTTGTACAAGAGATGTTGTGGTCTCTCAACTGCCAAGGTCTGTGTACGCCAGGGCAGCTAGAAGATGACAACTGACTGAGTGGAAGTGTCAAACTGCACCAGGTTTCAGCGAAATGTCAAATATATACCACCACCCGTACGGCCGCAGCACGTGGCTCCCACTTGCCCATTTTGCTACTAGAGAATCAAAACCCCTGGAATCAAACTCCAGATCTTTCCAAAGCTTGCTACCACTCCCAAGGAGCGAGCTGGATCACTGCTTGGATCTTTGGCAAAAGCAGAGGGAAACCAACATTTCCTGAAAAGCGATTTAGTAAAACTTACTTTATGTATGAATTTCCACTAGGGAAAATGCAATTAATTTCACTAAGCTACCAGGCTGAGAAACACAACATCATTTCTCTTGATTGTACACGTGTCATCAAATTGACTGCAAGTCAAACTCACACCTTCTTTATCACCTATCTGAATATAGGTACTTACTTTCACCGCAGGCCAGCTAGAGTGAACAAGCTGAACTACACCCTTTTATTGGCAGGGAATAAACTTCCTGGGACTTCTGCTTCCTCTACACCACGCTGCTGTGGTGTTACCCTGCCCTTCCTTCAGGAGATGGAGCAGTACATGTTGGAGGTGGGTAATGAATTCTTTGAGGAAATTCTGGAAATCCAGCGCATGTCTTTCACGTCTAGCCCTGCTTCCTTGTAATAGCTTTCCCTAGTTCCCTCAGCTGGTTATTGGCAAAGTCAAAGGACTATACAAAGGGTGCAGCTTAAACTGGATTTGTAAATACCAGATTATTCCATATTCACCAGAGCATGAAGCGGTGGCTGAATAGAGTCTGTCTGCGTGTGGAGCACTGTCAGCTCACTTAAAGTGGTAGCTATAAGGGCTTCCTGGGGGCCCGGAGTCCCGTCCGACTTACAGTCTGTTCCCGTGGCAGAACCGTTGTCATGCAGCGCAGCCACACTCCCTGGGACAGCAGTCAAGTTTTGATAGTGGCCATTTTCAGAGAAAGACAGCAGCTTCTCTGGTATTTTCGGTGACACATCATATTCTTCATCGGGAAGCTCTGTTTTGTGACCTTCATCATTCTTAGATGCTCCTTCAACAATGACAAGGAAGGACTTCCAGGGTGTGTTTTTATCGTGTATCTGAAAAACAAAAAGAGCCAAAAACCAGAAGGTTGAACACATGATGACTGTCCAAGAGGCAAAAGCTTGGATCCAGCTTGCACTTGATGCTGGTAGAAAAGGCCTCTCTTTTCATCCCACAGAACTGTCTCAAAACTAGGTCAGTACAGATCCATGCACTCATCTCTGTCCCTGGGGAGCTTCCAGTTTTCATAACGCACCTAACTGGTCCAGCAGAGCGCCTGGCCCAGGCAGCGAATTCTCCTGCCGCTTGCCAGCTGCATGGGGAACATGCTCGGAGGAACAACTCTGTGACTGAACAGTCTTCAGGTGTGACCTACATGGGCCACACCACAATGGATTAAGTACAGCTTCACTGCAGACCCGGGACCGAACACAAACCATCCGAGTACTTTAATGCAACATCAGAGAGAGGACGATGTGCTTAACCCAACAAAAACCGGGCACATTTCCCTCCAGGCCTGACAGAGCTGGCAGGTCTGTAGGTGGCCATGGAGAAGTCTCTAGGGCTACACGGCAGTGGGATGACAGGTTCTTACCGAAGTGTGCCGTCGGAGGGTGGACTTGTCAGTGAAAGTTCGCCCACAGGCGTTGCACATGAATGGCTTCTCGCCGGTGTGTATTCGATGGTGACGCTGCAGCGCATTCAGCTGCGTGAACTGCTTACCACACTGGTCACAGCAGTAGGGGCGTTCGCCTGGAGGCAGAGCACAACATAAAGTGGTGATGTCAGGGTGCTACGAGTGCTGCTCACTGGGGAACCTCCAGTAACCCCTGTACTTCACGGAACAATCAGGCATGCACAGCATCTTCAGAAAAAACCCAAGATGTTTTCAGAATTCTCACAGTTGGATAAATTTTGACATATCTGAAGTAAGCAGATACTTACAGAGTAAGGGTTAGACCCATAGCCCGCATAAATCTGTGCAACCACTGAAGTCTTCACATTTTTTACACGTATTTTCCATGAGCAACTGAAGTCCTGCCCGGAATACAAGTTTTCCTATTTACAAGGTACATTCTGTGAGCACGAATATCAGAGCTGCTCAGAACCACTAGGTTCTCTCCAAATACATCAGGAACTATCATGTTGCAGTGTATTAAGCACTTTTTGAAACAACCAGATGGTTAGAGAGTCTCCTGTTTACTCCTTCCTCAGCTAAGGCAGAAAAAGGGATATTGAAAAACTTTCTAACAGATGCAAGTAGTGTCACAGAAAAAGAGATGACATTTCTGAACAGGAAAAAAGTGTTACCATCAGCACTGCCGTGCCCATGTCCCTTGCTCCCGCACAGTAATGCCACAGTAGACACACAGATGCGGGAAGTAAAGAAAGAGCAAGGCACGGCAGCCAAACTAGAACTTGGTTAGCAGAGAATATTGGCAAGGACACTTCCTACAGGGTGGCACTGGCTAAGAAAGTGTGGTATTTGTTACATGATGAAAGTAACATGGGTATTTGCAACCTGCTCTATTGCTGAATAATGTGGACTTTGAGAAAGCGGATAAGAAAACTTGAGAAAGAAGGAGGGATGAAATTTAGAGGTAGCACTGGGAAGAAACCAGAGTGCTGCCCCTCTAAAGAGGCAGGGTAAGAGAACATAAAATGGAGAGAAATGCTAAGGTTGCAAAGAGTGAAAGTGACTGCTCTCTTGTCCTTCCACACCGACACAAAGTTTATGTGACACAGACAGCACCACTTGAAAGTCAGTGTTTCTGTACCTATGGTCACTGCTTTCTACTCAAAATACAGAGGAGCAGGTGGGAGTAAAACAGCCACTGAAAAGAAAATCCAAGCAGGAAAGCACACAAGTGTGAAAGCTGGACAAGCAGACAATAACGAGAAAAGCTCTCTGCAGTGCTTTGCTCAGAGCTACAATGGAGATAGTTCCCTGGTCACGAATAATCTTCTTGCTAACAACGCAGCAGCATTATTAACAATATCTGCATATCCCTTGGAAGTATTTCAGAGAATTTCTGCAACTCAGTAAGAAGCACAGGGAGTGTCAGGAGAAGGGAAGCGGATGAAAAAACCACACTGCACCAAGAATCAAAACGCGTACGTAGCGTAGGAACTAAAAGTACTGGAAAATTTTGGTTGAGAAATCCTTTGTCTAAATTAAGCAACTGTGAGGCCTACATCTTAAAATTGTGATAGTTTGTTTCAAACAAAAAAGAGCATCTCCTACCTGTGTGAACTTTTATATGCTGGTAAAGTGAGTTCCTCTGCGCAAACGTTCTGAAGCAAACTTCACACTTGAATGGTTTGGATCCGGTATGGATTCTGTTATGGTGTTTCAAGTACTCCTTAGAGGCAAAGCTCTTCCCGCATGTTTCACACATAAAAGGCCTTTCCCCTGCAGCAAGGGCAAGAAGGAGAACTCAACCAACATAGTGTTTGAGAATGCTATTAAATATCACACACAAAAAACTGAATGCTATTAGATACAAACAAACCACGTGCCAATCTCACAAAAGGATCTGAACGGGCTGCAGCGAGAGCAGCGATCTCTGCATAAGGCACAGAGTTTTCCTACAAGCAATCTGCACGAAACCTTCCAACTGCAAGGGCAACCACACTTATCCAACAGTACACAAACAGCTCCGCGCAGTACATGAAAAGCCCAGGGAGGTCTGCAGCTAGCAGTCTTCTCACCATTCTTTGGAGCATTCTGGCTTACTTGCATCAGAAACACAACACTGCATGCCTCTGATGAAAGACTTCCACCTGTAAGCAGCCAATTTTAGTCATATGCGTCTCAAAAAGCATTCTTGGAAATGTAATTTAATGTTTTCTGCCATCCACAATTAGATACAAATTACTGATGGAGGGCAGACCGCTGTAAGACAGGTCAATTAAGAGATGCAAAAGTACCACACACAACCCCTGGGTGGTAGGCAGGGTCAATTCATAACACCAATTTACACCACGAGGGATACCCAGGCGAAGGACATGTGCTTTTGAAAAGATGAGAATAAGCCAAGACAGCTGTTTTATACTCCTTGGGCAAACTGTTCCAGAGTTAGAGAGAAATATTTTTTTTTTTCAAGAATTCAACTAGACCTTTCACTGATGACGGATCTTTGGATATTGAAGACTATCCAAAGCAGCCTCAGCTCACACTTCAGACATCTGATCCCAGCCAGGTGGGAACTCCTTTTGTCTTTAATTGGCTCCTGTCCTGGGTTCGGCCAGGACAGGGTTAATTTTCACCAGAATCCAGGAAGGGGCACAGCCAGATGGGCTGACCCCACCTGGCCAAACAGAGCAGGGTATTCCATACCATGTGCCATCATGCTGGGTTCCGGTGGGGCGGAAACTCGCGCGCGGCTCGGGAGTGCGGGCAGCAGCTCTCTGGGTTGTTCAGTCTCCTTTGCACCCCAGCGGGGGGGGGAGGGGCGGCCGCGTGGCACTTTTGTTGCCAGCCGCCGCCAAACCATAACACTCAATTTGGCGCCCAAC